ACATCCTGCTTGCTGATTTCACAGACACTTACCACAGTTCATCTTCTCTCTCTCTCTCTCTCTCTCTCGCGCGCGCGCGCGCGCGCGCGTGCGCACGCACACACACACACGCATACATGTAGTTGTCCGCCTCTCTCTCTCTCTCTCTCTCTTTCTCTCTCTCTCTCTCTCTCTCTCACACACACACATACATGTAGCTGTCCACCTCTCTACATATGACTGCTTACCGCCCTGCTTTGCTGCCACCCTTCCACCCTTCCTGCCTACTGGACAACATTTCTCATACCACCTGGCTGCATGATTGCCTCCATGTCTTCCCGGCTTCCTCGTGCTGAGTCGTTGGTCTGCCCATCTTCCTGCTCGCCTGCCTCCCGACATCTGTACATCTCACCATACAGTGTCACACATGGTTGATGAATGCTTACGTCCAATTTTTGATTTGATAGATAAAAAAAATCCGTTGATATCTCTGAGACAATGGAACTGGGAAAGAGAGGCAAAGATTGGTCCGCATGACATGGTCTCTGATGCTGTCATATATACTATACCATGTTTCCTCAGGAGACAAGCTTGCATAATGTGCCCCCCATCAACAACTGTCGTCTTAACAACGTTGAAGAATTGCCTCTTTGATGAATTGCTTACCAATAACTGATGGGTCATGAATGACAACAAACAAATCATAGACTCAAACCTACCTCCCGATGTGTCCTTGCCTCTCTGCCATCCTCCCTACCAATGCCTATCATTCTTCCCATTCAATGGCAATCGGATACAAGTAAAAAACTGAAAATCGAAGAATGATGCTGCTTCTGATGCATTGGCCAGTTTTTCTGAGTCCGGCTGCTTCAGTTGCCCCATGCCACAACACATACAGAATGCTGGTTGAAGATCGACAACATCAAAACTGCTTTATGCTTATCATTGGCCACGCACACACTCATACACACGCACACACTCACATACATGACGTAAACAAATGGTTGCCTACATGTCTTCCCACATTCCTTTCGGCCTCCTCAAATATGACTTCCAGTGCTCTTCTGCCTTTCTATCTCTGTCTACTTATCCCCATGTCGGCCTATCTGCTTTAGCCGGCGCCTCCTCAGGCTGCCTGCTGCTGACCCTTCCTCATACTAGCTGCTTGGTTTGCCCTTCTTTCTACAAACCTGCCTGCCGATGACTGTCTGTCACTGCCATCGGCTCAGCAGTCCCGCGCGCCGTCGACGAATGCTCGCACCCAGTTTTCGGTTCGCCACATTTTTTTTTTTCCCCCTTGGGGCTATTTCTTCGCTCCCGTGTTATGCTGGAACCACATCATTCCGCTTTGGCAGTTTGTTTCTGGATGACCGCGATTTTGCTGCTCCTATTTGTGCACGAAATTGTCCGCACACCGGTTTCATTATCCGTGCACTTCATGAAATCAACATTATCTAACGAGCTCAGATTGGTATCTGCCAGTTCGGTTCAGCATACGGACAAAGCCGCAACAAGATAGATTAGAGGTACAACGACAAAGTACTTATGGGCGCCGTACGTCGGGCATGACGCCATCTTCATGCCCGAGCTTACGGAATATGTTCCCTATCAAGAGATGCCATCTGAACTGCTCAGCAACTTTCTCCTGCCTTCACATCTTGCATGTTGTTGCTTCTCTGATGAGTTGCTCATCAATAGCTGGTGCATGCTGAATAACAATAGACAAATAATGAACTCTACAATTTCATACAATAGTCCAATGATGCCACACGTCTCTTGGATGCCATAAGCATTTGATCACATCCTACTTGCTGATTTCACAAACACTTACCACAGTTCATCTTCTCTCTTTCTCTCTCTCTCTATCTCTCTATCTCTCTCTCTCTCCTTCTCTCTCTCTCTCTCTCTCTCTCTCTCTCTCTCTCTCTCTCTCTCTCTCT